CATGGTAATTCGAGAAGAACTAGTAAGCTTCCGGATGTGCGATTGCATAGGCCTCTATTGCCTTAAAGGTGTTCTTGAACGCTTCTTTGGCAAAGTTAAGAATATCATCAGATAGTTGGGCATCAGTTTTGCAATTAAACTCAGTCGTGTGCTTGTACACAGATCCACCATCAGCAGAAGGTACGAACTTAATATGATGAGTGGCTGAGTCAATAATACCTAACAAGGCGTCACCTTCAAAGATTGTATAGCTGACACTTAGATTGCTTATGTCTATGGCATCGACTCTATGCTTGGAATTTTTGTACGGAACACCTACACACGTATTACACCAAATATTAGGGAATCATTTATGAGAAAACTATATATATGTTATATACGATCTTTAGAGTACATGATTCACATTAAATACAAAATGTTTATTATCTATGTAATACTTACCATCACCGAATGTAATACTCTTAATGCTTCCAACACCACCATCACCTTCGATAATATTGACAGATTTGAAAGTTTGAGGGTCTACCTTAGGTGCGAGGGTGTCAAAGTCTCCATAGACCTTGAAAAGTTTAGCAGCGGGAAGAGAAGAAGTGACCTCAAGTTCAGATGTGATAACAGCCATTGTCAGCCAATTTGCAAGAGAGGATAAGTAAGGAATTAAAAAGATGAATGGTTTTGTTGTGTGAAGGTGGTGGTATTTATAAGGTTGAGTGGTTCGAATAAGAAAAAAAAACTATTATATAAGTTTGAAAATATAAAAGATGCCGTGCCCGCAAAAAAACTAAAATATGTATGTCCATGTGATCTCGGATAAGTGGAAATATTTTTCAAACTTGTTCCATTACAAAAATAAATAAGTGTTTACTTAGGATATTTATATAAAAAATAAATAAGATGCTGCGGAGATTGAGTTTATACTTATTCAATGAATGTTTTAAAAACCGGTTTTTTAGTTGAACCGGTATGGTGGTTCGACCGCCGAGTCAACCGGATCCTATATTTTTCATGTTTTTTTTTCTATTTTCCTACACATACATACATATATAAATCATGAATTTAATGTTTTAAAGTTCAAACATTAAAAATACACATAAAAATAAGTTGTAGATTAATCTAAATACATTAAAATAACACATAACCATAAATGTTAGTGTTTTACATCAATCCATATACGTTAAAACTAAAATAAAGTATAATATCGAAACGAAAAATAATTTTAGATTAATACAAACAAATCATAAAACTTTATAACATTTATCATATGTTTTTATTTAGAGAAAACTAAATAGATATGAAAACAATCATCAAAGTTTATTATGCAAATGATTATTTTCATGTGTTTTTTTGATTTAACCGGTTCAACCGGGTTTTTTTTAAAAACCGGCCTGTTCAATCCGGTTCAGAAATCAATGTAAAACCGGTGATAGTTGAACCGCTCCCTCCCCGGTTCCCGGTCCAACCGGTTCGACCGGCCGGTTCAATTCGGTTTTTAAAACATTGTATTTAATGACCCAACACATCAATTGAAATTTGAAGCCAATATCGTTGAGTTAATATTTTAGGTTATTTTTAAATTTGATATTTGGGTTTAAAGCTATTTTACAGAGACTCTTTACTAATTCTCCGGTCGAATAAGGGAAAATTCCTTATGCCCGTGATGAAACTAAAGATACATAAATTTTATAAAAAAAATTGATTATTATTCGTTTTAAATATAAAACACGTATTTGATTCTCCACCACTTCAACACTTTCCATGAAATATGACCATATTTTTATTTAATATATAGAATTTTGACATGACCACTTGATTCTCCACGCCTTCTCTACTAACTTTTAAATCATTTTAAATGAAATACTAAACGAACATCAACATAATCAACATTGTAAAGATAACTAGATTATGACATGTGTGTTATAACACACGGTTGATAGTAAAAAAAATGATGTAATAAAAATATTACTTTATTTAATCATAGTTGCTAGCAAATATTTATATATAATATTTTAATATAAATGTGTTGTGATATTAAACTGCATAGTAATAATAATAATAGTAAATAATTTGCGGGATAGCTTTTTCAGTTAAAAGTTTGGATGGGAAATATAGTTTTATGGAAGGACAGAAAAGATGATAGTTTTCTCTCTTACGAAAAGGACGACAATGAAGGATATGATAAAAAATGGTTTCTCTTTCCTAGTTACATTTCTTATTAATAAACAATTGTTTAAAATTTTCTAGGTATAACTGTTTAAGGCTATTTTTAATTGAAAGCAAGTAAGATACGTCTTTGTTGACTATTTTAATAATAGACGAGGTAGACATGTTCCTGGTTTTAAGAGAATAGGTAGACATCTCTCTTAGATTTTTTATTATTACATTAGTTGTCTTTGGCTATAAATATTAGATGTGTCAGCATTTTATTACACCTAATGTAACCGTCTGCTTTCCTTAAATAAAAACTTAGGCTTTAAGCTTGTAATACTTTTTCTCATTTATTTCTTCTGCCTCTGTGCATTTTTTTCCGGCTCACACGTTTGAACAATAATTTACCTTTAATATTCTATATAGTTAGATCTTTATTTCCCAACAAGTGGTGTTAGAGCAAGGTGACGGTATGCTAAAGTATATGATAATGTTACTGATGGCAGATAAAGGTGAAGGTGTTCAAAAATCTTAGAAGAATGGTAGTGTTATGTTACACTATCCAATGCTTAAAAAGTTAAATTACTCAGTATGGGCGATAAAGATGGGAGTGAATTTGCAAGCATAAGGAGTGTGGTGTGCAATTCAAGATAATGATATAGAGGAACAGAAAGGTCGAATGGCTCTAGCTGTTATCTACAAATCAATTCAAGAATATTATCTACTTCTGTTAGCTGAGAAGGACACAACTAAAGAAGCATGGAAACACTAAAGGTGATACACATAGGCACCGATCGAGTAAAAGAGGCTAAAGTAGAAACCTTGATAAGTGACTTCGTGGTTATCCGAATGAAAGATGGTGAATCGTTGGATGATTTTTTCATGAGATTAAATACCATTGTGACTGATATTCGATCCTTAGGCGAGAAAATTGAGGAGATTACGGTAGTGAAGAAATTTCTTCGAGCAGTCCCATCACGATTTATGCAAATTGTGATATTTATCGAACAATTTGGAGACTTAAAATACATGACTGTGGAGGAGGTTGTGGGTCATCTAAAAAATCATGAAGAGAGGCTTCGGAGTTACGGAGTACAAGGAGACGAACCTTCCTTGTTACTTATGCATGCCTTGTGGGCATCACGATCCAAGAAAACCGACAAGGGGAGCTCGTCAAACACCTCAAAGGATAGAGGTAGTCATGGTGGTCGAGGTCAAGGAAGAGGACGAAAACGTGGGTGTGGCCGATGAGGTGTCTATGAATCAATGCAAAACGGAATGACCACAAGAAGGATAAAAGCAAACTAAAATGCTTTATATGTGAGAAGTTTGGTCATTATACATTAGAGTGCCTAGAAAAGAACCATGGTGACGAGGCGAACCTCACACAATCCAATGAAGAACTACCCATATTAATGGTGGCAATTGATATTGTTATATTTATACATACTTTTATGAATAATTTCATTATATTTTAGTAGTTTTTTGGTCTAAATACAAGGACTTTTGGTACTTACTTTTATAAATTACATATTTCAGCCAGAAGAAGACATTTTTGAAGAAAAGGGACCAAAATGGAAAAAACTGGAAGTTGGAGGGTGAAGTTTGCGAATAAAGAACAATGAAGCTTCAAAAGCGTGTTTCAGGGAAATAACCACGGCGCGGTAAATTCTGGCCCACGCAGTGGCGTCTGGAAGGATCTCGACTAAAGTAGATTACCTTGCTGATTACGACAAGGAAACTGTTACCAGGGCGTAGCAAGCAATTGGCCACGTCGTGGTGGCTAGTTTATGGTAATTTTTTCTCCTATATAAAGGACGAATTAAAATGCCACGAGGACAGGAGTTTTTGAAAAGAATACTTTTGAGAAACCATAGAAGACCTGATTTCGGCCAGGAGAAAGAGAGAAGAAGAATAATTAGCACGAAATAGACTCAAGCATTTGGTTTGCATGATGTTTAGTTTAATATACTATTTGATTGGTTGTTTTTCTATTCCAATCATGGGCTAATACCCTTAGCTTTCGTTTAGTGTAGACGAACCTCAATTTTCTATGAGTTAATATTAGATCCATGGATTATTAATGTTAGTTTTTACTTGTGTTTGCTAGATCAATCCTTGCATGTTAATGTTTCTATCTTTATTACATTGTCTATAAATTATGTGTAGTTAAATAGCCATTGATTGCATGTTAATGGTTTTTACTTGTGTTTGCTAGATAAATCCTTCCAATTTGCAGCCTTAGGTCTGCCATTTCTTCCTTGTAGTTAGCTGGCTCATCCAAATTTACCAGAGTTCTATCACTGATAAACGTATCACAATATGACGTAATATGGAATCTATAGAAAGCAGGTGGCATGCTAACCCTACTAGAACGAAGGAGTAATGAGTTTTCAACTGGCTCAACTGGAACTTCTTCCTCATGGTGAGTGCTAGTGTTGTCTGAGCTTCCATCATTGGACGACTCTTGAATTTCTTCAAGATCAATAACACTCTCACTGTCCACTTTGAAGATGAGCTCTCTGTCGTGAAATACTACTCTTCGAGCTATGACGACCACGTTCTCACTAGGTCTGTAGAACAAATGTCCAAAGGAATTATGTGTGTGGCCAATGAAATAACACTTCTCAGCTCTAGGTTCAAGTTTGTAATGTGTCTCTCGTCTTACGAGTACTTCACAACCCCATACCTTGATATGTGCGAGCGAGGGAGCCTTCCCGATCGGACAACCCCCATACATGAAAGCACCGCGCAGGGCCAAATAGCCATTAAAAATATTATCTTTGATACATCGTCTCAGACACATTACAAGTTCAATTATTGTTTCACATAAACAAACCAGGAAGAAAGGAGAATCACTTACCGAGAGTAGTGGAGGAAGATCCAACTTTGAGAGGGTCACCCTCAGGACGGTTTTCCGCGGCGTCAGGATCACGACACAACTGGCGAAGGCCCTCCAAGTCTAGCTCGCACAAATAAAGGAGGAAGGCAAAATCTGTCTCCATGAACTTCTTCACAGAAGCATGCACGACCTGACTCAATTCCACCATAGTACTTGGCTCCTGCGTATCGAACCTCCCGGAGGCTACCTGTTCATTCACCACCTGCCTGCCTCCCTCCACACCAGTTGTGACACATGTAACCTTCATACGCTGGACCCCAATTGAGAACTCAGGACTCTCAATGACCCGATCAACTACCCTTAGAATACCCTCCGGAGCAACCACCCCATATCCCCCTCTACATCCCCGCCTCTTGGATTCCTCAACAGCCAGTTGTCCAGCTTTTCCCCTTCACCTGCTCTTCTAATAATCCTTTCTACCCCACCAGAGTATCCACTCTCCTCGCCAAATGCTCCTCACACCCATCCAAACTTGCAACTTGTTCCTCCACGGACGCCTTCTCACCAGCCAAAAGATCATAACGCTCTTGAAACTTGCGCTTCTCCTCCTCCAGCCCTTGCACCCTCGCCCTTAGATCATCTCGCTAGGCCCTAACAGAAACAAGTTATGTTGAATCTGAACTAACTTGACCTAGGCACCAAGAGGCGACCACCAAATAAGGAGCGACCTGAGCCGCCGCATACTGGAGACTGTTAAACATGTGATAACTGGAGAGGAGCTCTAGAGCTTCGATCGTGGCCGAAGGGAAATCATGGCGGCCCCAATAATAAGCAATAGGACGTTGTATGAGAAGGGACTCTCGAGTGAGCCCCCACTCCAGGATACAAACTCCAACGGTCGCTGGGGGCAAAGAAGAGGAACCTGCAATAACATTATCCTTCGCCAGACGCGAAGTAAAATCAGAGGCAGTTTGAAACTCAACCTCAGGCTCCTTGCATGTAGCACCTTCACCAGGAACGGTATCTGTAACATCCGTCACTTCAGGTAATAATAACTATTTAATATATTTGTAATTAATTGTTGGGTTATGGGTTAAGTAGTGGATTATTGAGTGGGCCTTAGCTAGTGGGCCATTATATTTGGGTTGCCTGAAGACGTACGATGGGCGTAAGCTTGGCGTACGCGGGGCGTAAATGCAACATTGGATGCGGGGGGCGGAGGTGCGTACGCGCAGCGTACCAATGTGTACGTGCAGCGTACGCAAGCAGACTCAAAACCCTAATTTTTAGGGTTTAAGCCATATAAATACAACATTATGACTCAAACGCTAGCCTCCTTATGTTGGATTAGTGTCTAAGCCCGTAACTATATTTGGTAAGTACTTGACCCGGTTGTGCATGGTCCTTTTGGGTTGCCTTCACCATAGCAACTTGACAGAGTGATTTATGAAGAGAGAGAAGATATTATTATATTAATATATTATGAGAATAATATATTAAAGGAATAATTATATGATTTAATTAATATTAGTCATATATTAATTAGGATTTAATTTGGTGACTAAAAGAGGTTAATTAAATAAAGGGGACTGCAACTGTCAATTGTGTGATAGTTGGTTTTTGGGCTATGGATCCTTATGGATTATAGGGTGGACGAAGTTAAGGTGTATGTACTCCTTAAATTCGTCCAAGCCTCAGTCTAGAAGGATCTTTGGATTACTTAGGGCCTAAGTTATTCCATTAGGGTTTTGGGTGAAACCCTAGAAGCTCACAATATAAATAAACCCCTTGGGTTGTGGAAATCGACTACCTTGCTTCCTTGGGAACCCTAGAGCCGATTTCTACTTCTCTCTCCTCTCTCCAAATCATCCTCTTGCTAGTTGGTGTTTGTAAGCCATTAAAGGAGTGACAATTGTGACTCTAAGCTCCAAGAACAAGAAGATTCAAGCAAGCAACTAAAGGTAATCATCTAGATCTGAATTATTGTATCAATTTGAATTGTTTACACTAGATCTAAGGTTTGCAAGTCTTGGATATATTGCATGTTCAATTAGAGAAACCTAGATCCAAGCATTAGGGTTTGCATGTGCACATAGGAAAGTTCTTATGGCTCAAACCCATCAGTGGTATCAGAGCTTTGATTGATTTCTATTGAATTGATGCATTGTTTGATTGTTCTAGCTTTGAAAAAATCGTTTTTCTTCTTTCCGTCTGACTGACTCGGCGAGTCCCATTGTGGACTCGACGAGTAGGATGAACTCGACGAGTCCATAAGGGGACTCGGCGAGTCGGAGCGTCTGTCAGAGTGATTTTCGGGATTTCTTGTTGTTTTGCTTGAGGATACTTACCTAAATCATTTTGGTTCATTAAAATCCGAATTTTATCATCCTTTTGTCAATATCCCCATCAAAACAAAAGATAATTACCAATTGTTTAAATAATAATTTCCTTATTTGATAATAATTGATTATTTGAATTAATTGTTGAATTGTCTTGCAAATAATATTGACTAGGTCAAATTTAGATAATCAATAAATTAATTGTTTAATTTATATTATTTGCTATTTGATCCTTTATGTTTTGAAAAGTTCAAAACTTGTCCTCAAGTTTTGAAATTTAAGTTTTGTGATTAAAAGTTTTAATTTGAACCATTTAAATTTCAAACCTTAGAATTTTACAAGTTTTAAAATTCAACCCTATACTTATAATATTATAACATTAATACATATATATATATATATATATATATATATATATATATATATATATAACTTAAATGCTAGTCTTACCGTTAGTAGGCCTCATTCACGAAGCCGGTCTATAAGGGGGGTATAAGGTTATGGCCTATAAAATGGCCGTTTAATGGGTGTCCATTCTCACCCACCGCTTCCTTGATTGGTGGAGGGTCGTTAGCCGAACGGGTAGGATAGGGCAAACATTTCCTCATTAAAAGTATAATGAATCTATATAAAGTAACTAAATGTTTTTTACAAAATTCCCAATCTTAGTTACTTTAGTCAAAAGTGAATTTGATGCAATTCCATGAAATTACACTTTGTACCCTTGCTAAGATGTTAATGGAGCGTGTGTGGTTAACCGGCACATTAATTGGGTTCTAAGCATAGGTGGCAAAGGGTGACTCGTTGTTTGTCATAGTTCGATGGAGCGTGTGTGGTTAACCGTCACATTGAATAGGTGACTGTAACAATAAGGGCACCATGTACATTTGCATGGTTATTCACACCCACTTTGTGATCCTCGGCATCACAGTCACAAACTAGAGGGGCATATCGAGATTTAAACATGCCATTGAAAAGTTCAATGAATCTCAAAGTATCTAGGAGTTTTCAATACATTTAAAACCTAATTTCCTTTTCGTTTTTCATGGTGGAGAATTAGTGAATCGACATTCACTTGCCTTCAAATTATTTACTTGTTAGATTACGGCATCCCTTTTATAATTTGTGAATAATGTTGTTGGTTCCTAGCCCTAATTTCTTATTTGGGTGATTAATTGGGGAAATTCATTTCTAATCAGCTTTGTTCTTTTTCCTTTTCAGATGTCGAACACAAACAACAACGCTTCTGGGTCAAACTCCTCTGGTTCATTCTCACTCATGAACTTGTGTGGGAAAGTGATCTTTGATGGGACCAATTTCAGTAATTGGATCTGCAACATTCGCATGGTCACTCGCTACGAGGACAAAGAATATGTCCTCGATGAGAAGCTAAAGGAGATTGACATCGACACTGCTACCGCCGAAGAGATCGCGGCCTATGAAGCCCACGAGCGTGATGCCACGAAATTCCATTGCATCATGCGAGCGACTATGACTGCTGAATTCCAGAAGTCCTATGAGGACAAGTACCCCTATGAGATGCATCAGGATCTGCTGGAACGCTACCACCAGAGCGCTAGGCAAGAGAGGTACGAGATCATCACCTCGATGATCACTACCAAAATGGGTAATGGAGAGTCCCTTACCGCTCATCTGCAGAAGATGCAGAGATATGTCGATCGCATGCTGAAGTTGAATGTGAACTTCGATGAAGAGCTGGCAATTGACATCATCCTTCACTCATTGCCTTCCTGCTATAGCCAGTTCCGCATGACCTACCACATGAATAAGGAAGAGGTCTCCTTGAGCAAGCTTCAGGGCTTGTTGAGGACTGCTGAGAGCAACCTCAAGGATAAATCTGTTGCATCACCTCCAACTCCAGCTGCTACCCCTGTCTTGGCAATAGGGCAAGGGAAGGGTAAGAAGAGGAAGGCTCCCTCAAGGGGCCACTACAAGGGAAAGTCCCATGATGACACCTCTTCTAGTGGAACCAAAATTGGTTCTGCTAAGCCCAACTCAAACCCTAAAGAGGCAGAGTGCCACTACTGCCACAAGATAGGGCATTGGAAGAGAAGCTGCCCAGAATATCTGCAGGCCATCAAGGATGGAAAGATCAAGCCATCTTTCGCATGTATTTACACAATTAAATCTAATAATTTATCACATGCTACTTCTTGGGTTCTTGATACAGGATGTGGTTTTCACATATGTTCTGATTTGCAGGGACTAAAAGGAAATAGGGATGTGGAGCGTGGAAGGATGAATCTGATCATAGGAAACAGAAGATCGTTGCCTGTGACCAAGATTGGAGTTTATTCCTTAGTGCTTAGTAATGGTTTAGATTTAAATTTGAATAATTGTTGCTATTCGCCAGATATGGCTAGAAACATCATTTTATTTCATGGTTTATATAGACAAGGTTTTAGATATTCATTTGATAATGAAAAGGGTTCTATTTATGCTTATTTTAATAATGTTTTATATTTTGAAGCATTGCCTTGTAATGGAATATATGAAACTGTGATGGTTGTAGATAACTTAGGAAATGATGTGTTGTGTGTGGATTCTTCCAATAGTATGGATAAAGCATGCTTGTGGCATTATCGTCTTTGACATGTCAACAAGAAACGCATAGACCAACTCCAAAAGGATGGAGTGTTGGAGTCATTCGACCTTAGGGACGATGACGTATGTGAGTCTTGTTTTCTTGGAAAGATGACCAAGTCACCCTTCACTGACACTTGTGCGAGGGGTGAGGGTTTATTGGATCTCATACATACAGATGTATGTGGACCCTTTAGATCCACCACAAGGGATGCGAATCGCTTTCATGTGACTTTCACAGACGATTATAGTAGATATGGGTATATCTACTTAATCAAACACAAGTCAGAAACCTTTGAAAAGTTCAAAGAGTTTAAACAAGAAGTGGAGAATCAGTTGGGCAGGAAAATCAAGATGCTTCGAT